TCGCTCGAATGGCCGGAAACGCTAAGTATACAAGCCCGATGATACAAAATGAAATTCTCAAGGTAGCAAGCAACATGATAGTGCAAGATATCATTATGGAGGCTAATAAATCGTTTGTGTCCGTAATAGCCGACGAATCATGTGATATTTCTGGGAAAGAACAACTAAGCATCGTTTTGAGGTATGTGAAAGGTGGTGAAGTGTGCGAGCGCTTCACAGGATTAGTGGAAATGGATTCTGTTTCTGCCGAATCAATTTCCTCAAATATTTTGACCCACCTCTCTGGTATAGGAGTGGATTTGCAAAAACTTGTGGGGCAAGGCTATGATGGTGCAACGACAATGGCAGGTCACGTCAGCGGTGTGCAAAAACGCATTCGTGCCGCGCGCAATATTTGTGCACTGCGCTTCTCATTGTTTGAATTTGGTCATAAATGACCAAAGTAAAGTTGCAATCATCAGAAGCACCTGTGATATCATTCGTGAGACTATTCGTTTTTTCAGGGAGAGCCCTAAAAGGCGCGCGGGTTTAGGAATTAACATCCCTTTGTTCTGCCCCACCAGATGGTCTGAGAAGTACAAGAGCATCCGAATCTTCAAATGCAACTTCAAACGAGTACTTGAGGCTCTTGATTCTTTGGCGAGAGATGCTAACAGTGAGACGCGGGCGAAGGCTTTTTCTCTGAAATCTGCTCTAGAAAAGTCGTCGGTTATCTACGCCGTATGTTTGATTGGTCGATATTCGGCACCAATGGAGCCACTAGCGCGCGCACTTCAGGCGGTCGGAGTCACTGTGCCGTCAGTAAAGAACCTCACATCCTCTCTTCAGAGCGTTATCGCTGAAGAACGCAATGACTCTGAAATCGCATTGAATATTTACAAAGAAGCTTGTGAAATAGCTGGCTTGAAAGAGTTGACAATACCCAGAGTAGTCGAAGTACAAGTGTATCGCGACAATGTCTGTGCTGATTCAGCATCCCAGTATTTTAAACGTTCCGTATATCTCCCATACGTCGACGGCTTGAGCTGCTCTATTCGGGAACGCTTCATTGACAACCCATCATTTTTTTCATTGCTATCAATTCTTCCACCGAACAAACCAGTTCACGTGGATGAGGTAGAGCGTCTGTATTTATTGGATAACCTCCAGAATGAAGTGAGACTGTGGAGAACTTCTTTAAGTTCCGACGTTAACGACGAATGTTTGGAGGGGCTTCTTCTGAGCGCTCGAGATTATCCAAGCGTGTACACCGCAATACAGATCGTTATGACGCTACCAGCAACCACCGTTGAGGCTGAGCGGTCTTTCTCCTGCATGAAACGGGTAAAGACATGGCTGCGCTCATCAATGACGTCCAATCGCCTTTCTGATTTGTGTGTGCTTCACTGTCACCGTGAAATGGTCACCGAGGAGAAAATTAATCGAGTTGTGTCGAGCATAGTTAGCGGGTAGCGGAGGATGGACTTTTCATCGGGGCGATGTATTTTACTTATTCAAATTGCGTTGTTAATATTTGTTGTTTCAAATTAAAAATTGTTTATTAATGGATTTTGTATTCACAAAAATCCAGCTGAGTAATTGAATCAGTTTGCTTGTTGACCAACTGTTGTTGTTTTGCGCTTGAAGAACGGGTGTTTTAAACCCAATATAATTTCTAAAATTTTCAAATTTGGCCCCCCCCAAAATTTTGGGCCGGCTACGCCACTGTACCTGGGTACAAATAACGGTACAGGGACTGTCATAGCTCTTCCATGTCCTGTGGTAATGATTTATGTTGTTTACATCAGAAATGTAACGAAAAGATGAGAACGTAATTCACAGAGGTACCGTACGGTACCTTGGCCTACCTGTTGCTGTACTGTCGGCCTGCTATTCGATCATGAAACGGTTCTTCTCTGGCATATAAAAACTCAATTCAATTTGTTCTTATCAAAATTAACATATACGGTATATAGATTTGCTAGAAAACCTACATTTGACATTACTGCAATAGTAAGATCGCGAAAGGAATAAGACAATTTCACTGTGGTACGGTAGTTGAGCAGTACCGTACCTCAATCACGCAACCGCTTGAAATAAGTTTAAAACGGTGTTCTCATGAGTAAATTTTAGAACAGCGAATTTTTGAATGAAATATCAGATCTCATAGGATTCACAGGGAATTTAGGAATAAATAGAAGTAATAGTCTCCTGGAAAAAACATCAAACTTTAACCACTGAAAATTTCGAAGCAATTGGTCCCGTATTCGAAGAGAAAAGCGATTTTATAATAATGATGGTGACGAAGAAAAATAACAACAACATAATATTGAAACGATCGTTATGTCCACTGAAGTGTCCAATAAATAGACGTTTGTTGCGGTGTCCATTTACTGATTTGTGAACTCTACATTGGCGGGCACGACATATAAGCGAAGTATTTATTCTCAAATTCTCTTGCAATATCATGTAGAGAAGTAATTTTCTAAATACTTTTTTTTTTGAAAAATATTCACCTCATTGAAAACGACAACGACGTGTTGGAATCAGAGTCGATAGTGCTATACCAACGATTTAGATATCTGATTTCGAGGTCGAAAATATTGCTTCTCATGTTATATTTAACACATTGCTTTATCGTCCCCTTAGCCTAGTAAAAAAATAATTATTTTCGGAAATGTTGCAGGTTGTTGGAAGAATTGTTAATCCTATTTACGCTATTTCATCAACACCAAGATTGTTTGTTGTTTTTTTGTGAGAAAGTTGAATCTATTTTCAAACAGTTTTTTTTCTGTGAGGGCCAAAGGTATAAGGACTCTGGACCCTTTTATTTTTAAAGAGTCTCAATATGTGATAATCATAAAAGAAAGTATATTTTTTTGTACTGATTTTCACTTGATTTTAAAAAAGCAGATATTGGAAAATTTTGGATTGTTTTACAACTCGAATATCCGATTCTCTTCATCAAGTTTGTTGACTAAATTTCTTTCAGTCTATTGGTACGAGGAAGGGTTCAATGCTACGTCGCCGATAAAGACAAATGTAGCAATATGCTACATTGCAATTGAGGATGATAGAAGATGCTGTCTCCTGTCCGTTTTGTACTCTAGGTTTGATGGCCAGATAAAAAAAAAATAGTATCAGCCTTCTGTAGTATCTACGTTCTAGATGGCCCGAGCAGAAGTACACCAAGCATTGTGTACTTTTGTAATTCAATCTGTTAGAACAGGTGTCACCAAACTTTTTTGACCGCGGGCCCCATGACTCCAACTGTGTTGAAACGGGCCGGACAAATATTTTTGTCAATGCAATACAATAAATTCACAAAAGTTGGGAAATCCATTCAATTTATTCAACAATAGAAATTCTAATTTCTGAAGACTTGAATAATAAATTCTATATCGCAGAATATAGATCGAGAACATCATAACAAAATAAATATACAAGATTTCTAGAAAACTATCTTGAGGTTGGCTGTTTGCAAAACATTGCTGTCATAAATATCCGCATGTAAGCAGTACAAAAGTTAATGCGAGAAAACGATGCGTGATCGCTGCGTACGGTAGAAAGTTTTAGCCTATTTTATCACAGCTATTTCTAGATTAATTTGATGATAATTGAATTATTTGATTCATACTTACTTAAATTTCAGAATTACAATCCAAAACTGACGAGCAGCATTTCAAATCGCGAAAACGAGGTATTGTTTACATTTTATAACCACAACTAAAAATCTGAGTGACAAAAGTGTCTGAGCGGATGCGAAAAGACCTATTGTTACGTCACTTTTGCATTTTGCTGGTAAGCCAATGTTACAAAATAAACAAGGAAGTCGATGCTTGGGGAAATATCTCTCGTAAAAAAAATTCGCCATATTTTGTGTTATTGCGGGCCAGATGAAAGGACCCTACGGGCCGGATCTGGCAAGCGGGCCGTAGTTTGGTGACCCCTGTGTTAGAAGATAAACCAAGAAAAGAAAATATACGAAATGAAGTCTGTTCCTCAGAACCCTACATACTTAAGAAATGACTCCTATTACTTGAAACAGTGCTTCAATAAATGGCAGATGGTAAAAATGACATAGATAGCTATAGTTTTGTTAAAACCTACTAAGTAGCAATGGCACGAACATATAACTTACTACAGTATTTGGTATAATATTTTTCTGAGAGAAGCTCCGGATATTGCTGAAAAGGATTTTTTTTTCAAATGCAAATAAACGATACGTACATAATATGGCCTATGTTTTTGAATTTATTGATGTTTCTTAAGTAATCAAAGTGTGTTTAATATTAATTTTTGATGATTTCGTGAAGAAATTAAATTCCAATACACTCTCGACATTAAAAAGTGATTTTCGCATTGGCTGATCGTACCTAACCAAACCACGTTATACAAATGTTGAAACCTACATTTTCTCGAAATGTTATCTTAATGCCCGAGGCAACAAACAACATGCAATTCACACAAGGTTACTCACATCGACTCGTGGTGTGACAAAGTTGTCTTCATTGTTGTGAAGTAAGAATAATATTTCATATTCTGAAACTACGGATGACAGGGAACAAGTATTGGATTGAAATACAATGCACTAGATAAGAGATATTTATTTGTTTTAGGTGTAACAGACCGGTAACAAAACGTGACACGGCATTGTGACTAACTGTCTATAATTCAATAAAGGCTTTAACAGATTCAAAACATTTTCTCTTTTGCAACACAATGACTTTCAATCTTTCCCACGGATTCATTTCCTGAATCATACATTTATCATTCTGGAGCGTTCACCAATATGGAATAAATTTATTCCAGTTCTGGGTAGCCAAATTACAATTACTTATTTACATTAATTTTTACATTAATTTTTTTCCAAGTAGTCTTTTTGTGCGACAAAATATCACAGCTAAATAAAACACTCCGGAGTAATTTTCTCTGTTATAATTAGGAAACAACCAAAATCCGAACTTTTGAATTGGCAAATAAAGAGTGGGATAATTAAAATTATTAAGATTAAATAATACAATAGGAGTAGTATCTAGAGATATATTGGGGAAATACGGTTTGAAAACAGAGATATAAATCGTACTGGAGCTATCATAGTCAAGAAAGTAAACTTTATTGAGGTATAAGTTGATTTTTTGATGTCGGTTGATATTTCATTTTAATTTCATACAATGAACTCACCACATATAAAGTCTAAGCTTTGTCCGATATTACAGACAGCAATATCATGTTTATTTTTTGCAGCGGACTTCGTTCGTTGAAATAACTAAAAGTTATGATAAGTGATCGCGTCCACAATATAGTTTTTCATGTTAATAACATATAGTTATAATACATTTCAAATGCAAATGTTGACGATAAAATAAATATATATTTCAGAGCATTTAATTGTTTTTCTGAGAAACAAGATGCATAATAAAATGATATATGCAACGATGGTAATCTGTTTGTGTTGTATAGAAAAGCGTAATTGGTTTGTTTGATAACGGTGCAGCCGTGAAATCATTACTGAGAACTTGTTCCTCTTCTAAAATGACGCATATATAGCAAAACAAAAAATCACGCTTCTCTGAGTAATGGTATATTCAACAAATATATAAGGTGTGATGATATGTAACTTCTTCAGTATCTGCAACAACCTATAGAATAAAAAGAAAAATTTCCTTTTGGACGCGATTGAGATTCCAGAATGATGTTTACACGAAGTGTGTATGTAGGGCTACTTTACTGCGTTAGCAATCTGAAGCTTGCATTTGCCTGTGAGTATACGAACAATGTCATTTACAACTTTCAGTCGTCTTGAATGTTGATATATACATAATATGCTTTGATTAATTGGCCAGAAATATTGATGAAAGAACAGTTTGTCAATATGTTTTATTCTTAAACGTTGAAATAGCTTTTATACACGCGAACTTTTCAAAATTACTTGCATTCGCAATTTTGCGTTTCATATTGAAAGATATTTGTATTTCGGCAATTACAAAGACTAAAATCAGTTTAATCAGGAATTAAAAGTTTTGGCCGTTTTTATAAGCCTTGGCCGATTTTTAGCATTTTGCTCGATTGTACGCTTTTTATTTCTCGTAAGTTTTGACCAAGTTTTACTAAGGTATAGGTATCTGTATACAGCGTCATATTGCGAACCACTGCAACAATTAAATCACGGAAAAGTTCACTGCAGTAACACATATCCCTCAGTTGGATCGTCTTGTAATTTTGAATGCAACAATGGATTTGAATTGATTCCTGCGGAAAATATTGAAGCCACTTGTGGAATAAATGGAAAATGGACAAAAGAAATGCCTTGTTGTAGAGGTAGGACACTTGTTTACAAATCAAAAGTAAATACAAGAACAACAACATAACGAGAATATCGGTCAGAGACCGAAGACTTATCGATCGAAAGTTAGGGGGATCCCCCAAAACAGCGCTCTTACTCCATAGTGACAACTTGGAGTGTCCCATCACTAATTAATTAATGCCTCGCTAATTATACGACATAATTCATCCAATCAATAGGCTTCTGGTCCGACATATGATGAATGCACATGCAAAATCTGGAGCAGATTCAATCTCGCTTTCGTGAGATATCAACATACTTACCGATTAAAATCGATAAGTAATAATAATGACAAAACGATCCATACGTATATTTTGTGTCTAATAAGTTTCAGGCGTTGTAGACTATGGTGTTGTATAAAGGCGTTGAACGACTTATCAACTTTAGTAACTTTCGCGCAGTCGCAAATTACAATTTACTTTTCTTTGATTTCTCTAAGTTTGACAATATTATATAAAACCAAATGTAGTCATAGCATCAATTACCAATCAAAAAACTTTCGATGTATTCAAATATATATATGCTACAAACAAAGTGTAACACACATTTGTCATGTAACAATTGCCATATGTTGGGTATCGTTTTTCCTTGGGCGAGCTCCCAGATGCCTATATTAACACAAATGTTTGATGCAGGATGTTCAACCGATTTCAAAAAAGATATCGTTATTGTGATAGACTCATCACTATCAATGAAAAAAGAAAATTTTGTTACCATGAAGAATTTTATTGCAAATGTTATTGGGTATGGTATACAGATGTTTTAGTTATATAATTGCAATCTAAAATATTTAATAATTTTTTTTTCTAGAAATCTGATTGCATCAAACATTTGCATTCTTTGGGTACCGCCCGTTTTTCTTTGGTGGGATGCCAATAAGTTGATATTTTTTTTGTTACTAAGAATTTGTATCTATGAAATTATATTTAATCAATATTTCTAGAAGAAAACCACCTCAAGTTATAATTGACCAGCAGAAGAGTATGATATAGGCGTATGTCTGAAATACATAAAAATTCTTTAACGCTACTCGCACTTCAAACCTTTTCTGTGATCGATATCTTTTTTAGATCAATCAAACCCACTGGAATCCATTTTTCTTTGGTTCGCTTTGCGAGTCAAGTGTATGACAAAGATTCAATTTACTTCAGTGCTTATAATGGAAGCACACATGCGATACAAAAAGCTGTCAGAAACCTGGATGGTCCTGGAGGAAGTATGAAACTGCTTTAGCGGCTATATCTTTTATATCTAAAAGTGTCTTGCATGTATGATATTGTCAAATCCGCCTAAGGGTTTCTTATACTGGAATGTGACATGTGAGACACATACAGCCAAAAATATGCCTATATTCCTATAGTCTCAAACAGATCAGTATTTTATCTCATTAGATTGTACGAATTCAAGAACCCGTCATAACACTTTCATGCAAAATTCATTAAATTTTTCCCTGAACAATGTTAAGTTCTCGTTAAAGTCATCCAAATTTTACACCATTTGAGAAACGCATACAATTTTTAAAGGGACTTTTCTTGGAGAAGCACTTAATTATACCAAAAAAGTCATATTGTCAAAAATGAATGGAAACAGAAATGATGTTATGGATCAGATCTGGTTACTGACGGATGGAGGTTCTAGTGACCAATTCGAGGGACCGGCAAAAGCACTAAGAGATGCTGGTGTAGAAGTATGAACAAATATTATTTTCATCATGTAGATTGAAATTCAAAAATATTGTAAGGTCAATTAGATAATTTCGACAAAGAATCTGTCAGATTTGGTGATACTCTGAATTTATTGTCAGTTTAAATACACTGAATTCACGCAATTTGTAGTTTTATAACTTACTTAAATGTTCAATATGTCACATGTCATCTATTGGCTAAAAGTGTAAATGTCGAAAAACGATTTTTATGGTTAAATTACAACCAAAGTAAGTTCTTAATGTTCATACGCATCAATATACACATATTCTATCACAGTTTTTCATCCGCATTCGACTGACAATGGATGATATATATATACTGTATATACTGTATATATATATAACTATTTGCCTAAATATAACTCATTTTTGCCGTTCAGATTATGGCGCTTGCCTTCAGACAAAAAGGCAAAGAAAAAATATCCATGAAAAATTTAGTTGAAATAACTGGACACGCAAAAAATGTGATCGAAATAAATGATATTTCTCAACCCTACATGGAAATGGGAAAAATCTTCGCTAACGAAAAGTGCGACTATTTCTGTCAAAGAAGTGAGACATTTGAGTTGTATTTTGACTTTTAGAATTTTTACTTAGTTTTTTTCATAGATGAAATAAATTTAGCGTTGCGCATTTAAAGACCATGCGCAATGCTTACATTACGCACCTCAGCACAGTAATCAGCCTTTTGATACCTCTTGTTTAATATGGACACCAAGCACAATGCGTTTTTATAAGTTATAAGTTAAAAATTACAGGGTGCTTGCCTTTAACAAAACTACCAAACGGCAAGATAACTTGTTCGACGAAAAAAGCGACAGAAGGTTCGAATTGTAAATTCAAGTGCAATAGTGGACATAAACTGATACATAGCTGGAGGACCAAGGCTAAATGCCTTGCAACTATCGACGGAGTAGAATGGAACCAAAAATTGCCCTGTTGTGGAATTGGTTAGTTGAAAGAATATTTAAACAAGATGCTACGATTTTATCTAGGTTAAAGCTTACTGCTGATGGACTAGCAAATATTTATCTTTCTAAAGTGTGTTTCTTGATAAGATCACAATCTATCCCTTTATTTAGAATGTTGTACCACTAACGTTGAAAAGGACGTTGTAATTGTCGTAGATTCATCAGGATCAATTGGAGCTGATGAGTATGAAATTACGAAAAAGATCATTTTAAATACCATACGGTAAGGAACCGTATACGTTTTCTTTCTATCGCTCCGAAATTTCTATTAATGATACATTCAATACATTATTAAATATTATCGTAGTGTTTCAAACTAACTAAGTTTACTTTATTCAGATCTTTCAAAGGAAATAAAGTGCAATTCTCCCTTGTTCACTTTAGTGACCATGTTCACACAAAAGATACAATATATTTCGGAAACAAGTCCGCATTAGTAGAAACTATCAATCATTTTTTGTCACCTACAGGAGGTAAAAATAATTATTATCATGCCTTCAATGGTGTCACATACAATAAATAAATAAATTTGCGAACTAATTTAATTCAGTCCTATTTATAAATCGTTAATCCACTAATTGACCTTGTAATCATAATGAAATAGTATGTAATTATATTGGGATGAACACAGCATTTTATTATACTCAACGCAAGATAAAATACAGTGGAATTACGTCATCAAACATTTTTGGTTCTTTTTTTTTAAATTTAGATTAGACTTTGTTCATAAAATGATCGTAAATATGGGAATCTGTATATTATTTGAATTTTTTTTCGTGTCTATGGCCAACATAATTGAGAGACTTAGCACAGTTGTACAAAGAGAACATTGGTTTAAAAAACAATAAAAACTGTATAACTCATAGATATATTCAAAAAGACATTACGGATAAAATACCCAAACTTCTTTCAGAGTTCTGCTAATAATTTTTTTGGTTTATAGGAACGCTCCTCGGAGGCGCATTAGACTATGTCAGAGCAAATTTGCTCCATCACGAAACCAATCGTCCCAATGTCAAAGATTTGGTTTGGGTATTCACCGACGGTGGACAATTTGACGAAGTCGAAGGACCCAGAGATCGACTGAGACAAGAAGGAGCAGAGGTATTTAATTTAATAAATACAATTTAAATATAACCTTGAATTCATTTTTATTACAATTTTATTTCATTATATTTCATTTGAATTATATTTGTTTGTACAGATATTTGCTCTTGGCTTTCAACGGTCATTGTGGGACGACATGGCTATGTTGGAAATCGCAGGTAAAAGAAAAAATCTCATTAAAATTCACAAGAGATTTAATGTACTTCGAAAAAGAATTATCGAAAAGATTTGTATATTATAATAGGGAAGACAATAATACAAACAGAATGAACAATTTTCAGGTGGTAAATTTTCTAATCATATTATCTACGTCAATGGAAGTAGAAGACGATTTCATATATATATTTAACAACTATAATACGAATCAAGCACCTTATTATTACTTTTGTTGTTTTTCATTTATTATTGTTCGCGGGCATTTTCTAAGTTTCATTCAGAAGTATGGAGAAGTCAACCTATTTGCGAGAGACAGTGAAACAAATCGTTTGGGTTGGGCGGGCACCTATGTATACAACGTTTCTAACGGTTTACCTAATAATGACATAATAATAACAATTAATTCTGTCGAATACGTGTATTTTGTATCACGCAGTTTGTGTCATCGTTAGTAATTAATTATCTTGATCATGCGATGGAAGCCGTGGCTAGAGTTATTTCCTTACTATTAGGACTTGCATAATAATATTGCTCACTCTGTTTAGATTTGTCATTTTGAGCTTTGCTCTTAATTTATATTATGTTCATCGGAAAAAATATTAAACACGAAATATATAAAGTGTAAAACGGAAGCTGTTACGTGCCAGCTCAAATCTCGAACTTTGACAGTAATTCGAAATTTCTCAATGTTACTATCGCGGTAGCTGGAAAAAATGCTCCATTTTGAAGCCAATGCTTAAGCATAGTAATAGCATAGTAATATCTCATAAACAAAACAATTTCACCACAACTATCCAGTTTAATTTATTTTAAGTCAGTTTCAGACATGATTAGGACATCGTGTGTTGGTTATTTAGTATTATATATATATATTGATCATGTTCACTATTTGATTATCGTATTGTACCTAATCCTATCGTGTAATGCGATCGTATTTTACTGTAATCGTAAGTTGGAAGCTGTTAATAAAAGAATTGTCTGGTTGAAGTGTCTTACAAAGTCTTGAGGGAGTGGGCAATTGAAGCGCTGCTGTTGATACTCGTCGTTTAGAGACAGGTAATAAGCTGTCGCCTACTATACAACCAACAACAAGGTCATGTATACTCTCTTACCCGTAAAACACCACATTAGGTGTCTGAAGTGTGTGATGAACCTAACACAGAAATAAACAAGCCCGTACACTAGACTTTTCTTAGCTCAAGCGTCAACTAAGAGTCTTAAGGCAGCACGAAACAAGGAATTTTTTGTTTCTTTTTTATTGGATTTTTATAAAATAAAACAATACTGCAACAATAAATACCAATCAAAACACTACATTCATCTTAGCAATAATACATCAATAGTCATTCCAGGCGACGCTATAGTAGGCAATGACCAATATTTAAAAAAACAATACATCTTACCAATACATCAACGAGAATATCGGTCCAAGACCGAAGACTTATCGATCGAAACTGCGGTTTCGATTCATGACTCTATAGTGACACCGCGTGACCCATCACTATTTAATTAATAACTCGCTAATTATATTTCATCCAAAATCAATAGGCTAGTCCGAGATATGATGAATGTACATGCAAAATTTGGAGCAGATTCAACCTTGCCTTCGTGAGATATCGCGTTCATCTAACAGACAAACAAACAGACAGACAGACAAATACCTATCAACATGCTTACCGATCTCAAGATCGATGAGTAATAACAATTTTATTCCAGGCGACTCTATAACAGCCGATAAACAATATTAATCAAAAACGGTAGATCCTAGCATAGAGTCAAGATTCCGTGATACAGTTCAAGGAAATTTTTATTTATCGTAACGTCTTCTGAATTGTCTTCTATCTGCGAACTTATTCGTTAGTTCTGTTGACTACCTTAGCCCTACATTAGACTCCTAATCTTTCAAGATTTTATTGCCTCGTTTAAATAAACATACGATAACTCAACAATCAAAGTGTAGAAGATACAATATCCGACATAAAGTATAAAACAATACCTTGAATGGGATTGTTGCGGGTTGTTTTGCTCCCCCTATCTTCCTACCTTCGTCCCCCATTTTGGATCAAGTTATTTTATTTAAAGGCTTTTGGAATTTCTCCGTTTAGCGGATAAATCTTCTATCTTTATTTATTACTTTTTCGGAAAGAATAATATCTATATAAGAGTCGTGTGATCTGTGCTACCTAACTAGGGCTATTGAGTCAGGATAATTTACAATTACTTTTGACTGTCGGGTTGAAAAAACTTTAACGTATTTTTATTTGGCGTATGCAAGACCTCTTTGATGGGCCGATAACGCATTATAATCTTATTGCTACCTCATAATTTTCTGTAAAAATTATTCTCCCTCACCATTAACATTGGAGGCTAATAGACATTGGTTATTTATGTTCTATCCCACGCGAAAATAAAAAAAATGCATAAACAAGTTTTAACATTAGAGACTATCTGATATATGGTCACCAAAACATAAAATTGCATTTTTAGAGATTTTGGTTAGATTGTGTCTTGTTTTTCGGGCAGCACGCCAAAGTTCAGTTTGCTCAAATTTATTTCTTCAAAAATATCAACGTGAAATTAAACTTTTCACTTGATTATTAGTCTATTTGGGTATAAGTGTCAGAGTGGGTAATAACCGATTATCTGGTTACCTATTAACACCTGGACAACTTAAAAATGAATATACAACTGAGTTTAGTTTGAAATAATTGAATAGCTTCCGTGATTGATTTGGAAATTTACGCCAAATTAATGAATGGTATTTGGGGATATAAATATACTTTTTTTATGTCAAGTAATCTACCAAAAATCATCACAATGTTGAATAAATTAATCTTCTTGTGAAAAACAATAATTTATTAATTTTATCAGAAAAAAAATTAAAGAACTTTGACAGTATAATTGAAAATTCTGACTTTCACTTTAATAAAAATCTCTTTCTTGAACGAACCCTGCTTTTACGCGTTAAAAATTGTATTATGGCACCCGTGATATTTGGGGGAAGGTGGGCCACGGTGGGACAAGGGGCACAGTGGAAATCAGCTCTCACACTCGTACTATATCCGGAAACCGGTTCGCGCGCCCTTCGGTGAGTCCCTTGGTCTTACTGGCATTGAGCGGTAATTTATTGTCCAACATCTAGCTATGAATGTTGGCTAGTTCTCGGTTTCCAACCGTGGATAGTTGTTCCAAGTTTTTCCCATATGGCAGGGGTAGCCAACTCACGGCTCGTGAGAAGCATGCGGCTTTTGCTCCGGTTTCATGCCGCTCCTTTCGTATTAATTATGCTAAGGAAAATCTAACTTTCAAACTACGATTCATCATGTTTCGATTAAACATATTGTGATTCATCGTGCATTCATTTTTTACGTCGAAGCTACATGAACAATATCATTCACTTTACCGTGGACCCGCCCATTATTGCGTCACAATCGAATTCGTTGTTGTGGACCCCTCTTATTGCACTACGACGGCCGTTGTAATCGTATCGAAAACGAAGTTCGACGACAAACGCGCAGTCTACCATTTGTTTGGCGTAATTAAAGTGCAGATAAAACGTCACAAATTACGTCTTCGGCGACTCATTTAATCCTGATACGGATTGTTCGAAATTCCCCCAGTCTCAGAGGAGGCTCCAAATGAGTTGAGAAGGATTGATCGTCATGAAGAGGATTAACTGAAATGTATTTTAAAGGAAGGGACAATTGAGTTCTTAAAAAGTTTTCTACCCTAAAACACGCAAAGTCAAAACATTGATCTGTTCTTACTGACACCCATGTGAAAAAACTTACATGATCGACTTGTACCAGTCGGAACACCTAGACATCAGAGATGAGCGGAGTCGAAATTTTCAGACTCGGAATCCCTCCTGATCACAGAAAATATATTTTCAGTTCAGTGGTACTGATTCGAAATCGAAATTCGGAATATCCGCACTGATTTAATGTATGTTCATTACACCCACATTTGAACACTTCGAAAACATTTATTACCAGTTTCCCAAACTCGCATTTAAACATTGCTGATTGCTTGCAAAATAATTTGACACCTTGCTACACATTTTGTTTTCAAGAATTTTGAAAAACGACAAAAGATCGAATCGATTCCAAAACTTGACTTGGGCTTCAATTAGCGTATGATGTTTATTATTTCCAATGATGTAGTTAGCCTTAAAACGAATGAGAAATCATGCCTCCCAAGATCTGTAAATCCTATCCTTTCCGAGGATATGAGAGGCAATACTTGGCACAGATAGCTGGATGTGGTGTATTGTCAAGCAAGCTTTGTGTCACTCCGGAAAAGTGTTTATTACCGTATTCGAGTATAACGCGCACTTTATGTAACACACTGTAATACTTTGTTTTATTAAAAATTGGTATAAAATTCTTTGCTTTATATTTTTTACCAACGTATAGCACGCACCCTTCATTTTTGATTGAATATCAGTGTAGAATTTAGCGCGTTATACTCGAATGAATACAGTAAATTTATTTTCAATTTCTGTTCTACTTCATTCGAGTCCAATCGACGGACATGCATCAGTTTTATTTTTGAAAATTAGTTCATTAATTATTTTTCACACTGTATTAATGTTATGTTGCCTTTGTTAAAGTCTAATTTGGACATATAATAATTTGATTTCTTTTTGAATAGTCGAGTCTGTAGATTTCTGGATTCATTATATAGTGATTTTTGCTTGTCATCAATGTTTTTATTATTATTAATAGATGCTTATATAGTTTTTGTTTGATTTTGCGTAACTCAGTATCATACTAAGGCGGTCACGCAAAGTCAAAGACTAGTGTCCTAGTCAATGACGCAATTTTTTTTTTGGACCTAGTCGATAGCAAGAAATCTCTCCTTCACGTTTTTAATGATAATCTATGTTTTGCTTAAATTTTTTTGTAGTCAGCCCTTATGAAGCGTTAATAACTGGCGTTCATTTTAAAAAGATCTTTTATAAATTATTGAAGGTATATTTTGCTTCGATGGGTATGGAGAAACCATATATGTGGAGAAGAAGGTTTAAATTAAAGGGGCATCATCCCTGTGGGGGGTTGTAGAAAATCACTTTCCTTACTGGAACACTTTTGACTTTCGCTAACACAGACTGTACCACTCACGTGTGCCATGGATCACAGGTTTCAACCTGTTGCACAGTATATCAAATCGAATAACACCGATATCTTCCCCCCACATCCAGTAGTGCATTCACATTCAGGCAATCTGCTCATATCTTTGTTTAGATTTTCCTTACTCCTGTTGAGGCTAAATGAATAACACCGGTGGTATTCAATAACCTACTTTCCGTGCAGTTTTTGGACACTGTGGGTGTACTAGAACTAGCCCAGTAATTCTCAAACTTTCATGATCTGTGACCCTCTTTTAACTCTCAACCTTTTTGACCTTCTGATTTTCTATAAAAATAGCTAGTTTCGTTTTACCGAGTTTCAACCAACTAATTTATTTGCCACGTTTAGTAATAAAAGGTCAACAAACTAAAACAAAAAGAAAAGAATGTATCACAGCCAAAGAAGTAAACAAGTCTAAGACAATTTGCTTTATGTTATTGTAGTTGTCACGAATGGCAGCTAATTTAGCTTAGTTAGTAACTCATAATATTTATTAATTTATATTTTGGAGTCAGATATTAGTATCCAGATTAACTGGTAGTTACAACTTAAAACGCTACAGACCGATATTGGTTTAGGTAGGCTATTTGCAGTCTTTCTAATGTTAGTGAGAATTGTGTCTCATAAAGCCGTTCAATATAGTTGGTGGCAATCTGCGCGGGGAACTTTGGGTATAAATTTATTCATGAGTTTGGTACATAACTCTTGTTAGTTAAGTTTGGGACATCTTATCCAATTCAGAGTGAAATATCAACTAATAGTGTGTACACTGATGTCCATAACCACAACACATGCCGAAAGCGTTCGATTCTGATTCACTGTTCCAGCTTTCATCTAACTCAAAGTTGCGTTTTTTTAGTATTGTATACCCCGTCGTTTGTAGGTTATCTCTTAATTTATCGTCGTTTTAACCGAACATTAGGAGAACAAGGCATTTATTCGTTTTTATCAGAGACTCCACAGCGAACATTTGAGAAAGTTTGGTCTTTCTCAATACCGGTTCCCCAGGGGAGCAACTTCGCATCATATATATAATACAGAATTAGAATTTGGAAAAAAAGAATTTTCTAAAACTGACGAAGCGATCAATTTTTAAATTTCCGGTATTGAATTACAGATAGAACAAGCTGCTGGTAAAAAACTACTTTTACTTCTCCTAAATTCTTTATAGACCAGTTAGTTCGCCCGAAATTCTGATTAAATTGTGCCACCATCTCAGAATTCTGGCTTTTATTTTTGGTAAAATGCGGTATATTTCACTTATATATGCAAATTTCTATACCAATCACAATTAAATGTTTCCCTGAGCAAATTTGACGTCACTGGGATTATGAATAGTTGAATTACTTCTGCTGTAAAGTTTGACAATTTGATGTTGTAGAATGTAGATAAATATAATGAATAAAACAATAAAGTCAAAAAAGCAGGTGAAAAGATGCCAAAACTTTAGGAGAACAAAGACTTCGTTGCTTTGACGTTTTAGTGGTTAACTAAAGGTTCATGATTATTTTATGAAACAACTAGCTTATACTAAATAAGTAGAAAGTTATATATTGTAAATTATTTTCTACTATTCTTCTTCGCATGATAGTTCACAAATCTTTCTTATGATTTTCGTTCGAAGTTGGTCATCGAGATTTGACATTCCGTCGACTTCTATGACATTTTCTTTTTTACCTGTGATTTCGATCAGTTCATCCACGGATATTTGTGATTTCCTTGGTTGTTTAATGCCAAGTGCAAGAATCTGTACAAATGCAAGTAATTGAAAGACTATGATAGATATGATTTTATACTTATCTCGAAGATAGGAATCCCATAAGATAGGTCAATGATAGGTGATCCGCGGCCACATGCCAGAATAAAAAATAAATCGGATAATTGTTTCAGCTGTAGGGAATCAGATAGTCGAAATGTCCGTAACTGACTATCGGTTATGTCCGCGGCACTGTTGCGGGTATAAGTCTCCCAATCAAGACGATCACATTATTTTCCTAACGCAACATATCGGTCCCTGTTAGCGTTTAGCATGTCAATAAAGTAGGTTCATATTACACGGAGATAAGATTGGAATTGAGCAACAGTGTAAAGCAGACCGTTCATAATTGCATTTAATAAAATGTTCACCTCAGCTCCTTCCTGTCGGAGTGTCTCCGCCGGGACTTTAACTTCGTCACTTGCTGCACCATCAGTTATTACCCATATCATATCTTTGACACTGGGTCTATTGCTTTTGTGATAAAGCACATTGGTTATGGCATAGTCTAAAGCGGCTCCAAGAAACGTTCCTGAAACAATTTGACTCTTATCAATATGTATGCATTCTATCAAGATACGTTCAAAATGTTTGTTTGTAGTCTAATTCAGATAGTTGATATGAATATATATATATATATAATATATAATAATATATATAATTCATAATCATTAATCATTAATGTTTGGTAACTAACAATTGAATGTCTTAAATTGGCATTTTTCATCTGTGAATGTTAAGAATTCGTTCACTTTAAATAACTTGAAAGTTTCTTACTTCCTCCAGTTTCATTTAGACCCGCAATAGTTTGTAATAACGAAGTCTTGTTTCCAAAATATATTGTGTCTTCAGCGAAAACACGACTTCCAAACCGAATTAGTGCAAATTGTACTTTATTACCTTCAAAAGATCTGAATAAAATAACAAATTTAAGCTAATATCTCTGATTTTTTTACTAGTAGTTCACCAACGTTAAACTCGTTAAATTCAAACATTTTGATTATACAATACTTGCTTACTGGATGGTATTTGCAATGAAAGTTTTCATAATTTCATATTGATTCTCTTTGATTGAGCCTGATGAATCCATGACTATAATAATATCTTTCTCGGTGTCAGTGGTACAATATTCTAAAGAAAATTACGGATTGAATATAAAAACCGTCTTTAATATGACTAGAGGCATAGGTTGGTAATTTTCTATTAGTTAAAAACAATGAAATGTCAACAATGGTCCAGACTCTGAAGTTTACAGATAAAAAGTATTTCATTTTATTTCAATATTAGAGATGTACCTATACCACTACTGCCGCCGATACCGATACACCGATATTCCAAAAAAAATATATGGCCGATATTCCGATAATATGGAATTTTTACCTCAAATGTACAGGACAGACGGATTAAAACAATAGTCTTTGAGCATTATTTATATTGAACATTTTAAATGGAAAATGAGATATATCACATAATAAGAAATTGATGTTTTGGATCCAGATGTGTTAATTGAATCAGATGGAATTTGCACTGACGCTGGTAATCTCGATGTTCAATTAGAAAAGTCATAGGGTCTGGCTACTGTGGGTGGTAGAATAAACGAATGTTTACTTATCCTATTAAACTAATAATAGATTGAGATACGTGCGCAGGATCTTTTGCCAATAAAACGACATATTTTGTTTTTTTACAAATTGAAAAATCCAACAATAATCGATATATTTTTTTTCATAACTAGCGGGTAATATTAAAAATGTCGATATAAAAATTTTGCAGAGGTGAGTACGTGCAGAGCTCATAGTTCACGATCTATCCAAGAAAAAAAAATTCAACATTGGTATTCTAACTTATTTTTTTAAAACATTCGTGATTGAGAAGCTAAGTATATCGGAAATATCGGTCTACATATAGTCGATACCGATAAACTACCGATATCGTGATTTTAGCCAATATCGCTAATAACGATACCCGATGCCGATACATCTCTATGCAATATTGCCTTACCAGTTCCACAACACGGTAGTTTTTCCGTCCATTCAACTTCTCCTCCTGCAGTTGCATCACATTCAGTCCTATTTTTCCAGGCAGGTAGTAATGTGAATCCGCGATTGCACGTAAACACACAATGGGTTCCTTTTATCGCTTTTTCCGATGAACAAGTTACCTCGCCGTTTGGTAGTTCTGGTAAAGGTGGACAAACAGGTGGTTCCCCTGTGAATTTCCAACATATATGTTAACACTTGTCTAATTCTGTGTCGGGTGTTCATTTCAAACTGAGACAAATCAAAATATCGAAAACAGTTAAATATATTTGATTGAAACTTGAGTGAAATGAAGACATATGAAAGTTTCAATAGGGGTCACAAAATTCTTACTTTTTTGACAAGTATAGTCGCACTTTTTCCTGGTGATAGTTTTTCTCAATGCATTCTTTAGTTGGGTTATTTCTTTTATTTCAATCACATTTTTTGCTTTTCCAGTTATGAAAACTAATTGTTCCGTAGATAATCGTGTTTTTCCTTTTTGTCTAATTCCGAGTGCAAAAATCTAAAAAAGAAAACTTCATGTTCGGGTATTCAAACAAATGAACGTTAGGCGGCCTCACTGAACCATCGAGCACTCATTCAAATTGCGGAAAAGCCTTTTGATTAGGTGTGCCGGCTATTTATGAACTATCTATGAACTATTGATATATGTCAGATCGAAACTCAAAATATTTTTTGCTTTCAAATCTACGAGGTAAAATAGTACTTATTCCTACTTCTACACCATCATCTCTCAACGCTTTTGCCGGCTTCTCAACTATATCACTTGAGGCTCCATCCGTTAAAACCCAAACCATGTCATCAATATTTTTCCTGTTACCATTTTCTTCTGTCAGTATAACTTCTTTTGTGTAAGTAAGAGCAGCTCCAAGAAAAGTTCCTTCATTTTAAAATATTGCACAAATGGATTTGAGATATATTTTTGGTTAAAAGATTTAAAATTAATGTAAAAATATGGAGAACAACTCTCTTTCGAAAATAAGTTTAGGTTTTAATATCATATCAGTTTGGAATTCAGAAAATATAAAAGTTTCACGATTAGGACTGGGCATTTCCGAAACACTGGTGTATCGAAATCGAAACGAAGTTTTGCCTTCGAAACGAAACGAAACACACGTTTGTCACAAACAATAAAATCATTATTACCCATCGAATTTAATGTGTAATTGCACATATTTTCAAGAATTAAAATCACAAAAACGAAGCACTGGAAGCTAATTCGAGAGCATGAAACGATAATGATAATTCAATGAAGGTTTCTGCTGCTAACGACAAAGCAGTGACCAAATGGCATCAGAATAATCATTACGAATTACGTCATTGTTAGACATATAGGGCTAACAAGCAGCATATATAGCATGGGGCCTCTCAACGTATCAATGCGACCCTGCCCTCATCTTATGTAATAATTGTGATCATTTTCTATATTATTCGATGTCACAGAGCCTTGTGATCCAGTGGGGTAGTAATACCAAGGAAAGCCACAACCGAATACTTCGACTACCGACTAATACATTCTAAAAAATATCTTTGAATCTGATTTCCAAATACATTCTTAACTTAATGAACACAGGAAATGGGCTTTCATGATATTATCGTTGATTGAAATTAGCTACAACTAGGCGCCCAGAGAAATGTTTTAAATTATACAGTAAAATTAACATAAACGCGAATTTTTGTCGCGGCTAACTTTCGTTGTGACTGTTTATCGTCAGCGTGACATCGACATCGTTAAGCTAAATTCCGCCACAATTATCCCTCCGTCCACAAGTTTGACTGTTTATTTTACTTATACCGCGATCATCGTCGTAATCAAATGAGTCGACCCAATTCACAAATTTCCATTCGCCAATGACGGAGAGTCAAGACTGAAAATCGTGTTTAATTTTTCTGTCAGTTCTGATTTAAATATTGCACGTCAACTGTTATGCTTTTATCATTGCTTATAAATTAATACCGCAAACTTACACTGAACTATATTATTATTAACGACGCCAGTCTAACAATAAAATCTGTAATGCTCGGTCACTATAGAAACTAAGGACGAAAAAGATTAATTACGACAAAGTTTGAATTTAGATTTATTGCCGCAGTAACCAAGACTATCTCGACTATGTTGAAATATACGATAATAATTGCAAAATATTTTCAATAAAAAACTTCCACGACATGTTATAAATACTGTATGTCGGTGCTGACTTAAATCCTTAGATGTAGGCGCGTCGCAAAGAGTGACTTCGATTACGATAAAACATAAAATGAAATAATCGTAAAATGAACGTGGACGATGGCACCAGGACGTGTGCGCGATATTCAATATTCTCATAAACTAAAAACGATATTTGAGAGTCGCGATATTCGAAAAAATTCGGATATTAAATTCGACTTGGACATCGCTGAATGATATTTTGACTGATTTCAGATTGCATTTGATATGACGTCATAATGTCCGTTTCGGAAGTCGAAACAGCGCCGTTTCGACATACCAGTGTTTCGAAACGTATCGAAACAGTGTTTCGAAACGCCCAGGCCTATTCACGATATATGTATAGCACGTTACCATCCAATGCATATATTCTTCACAGAATGAAGACTCTTAGTCTACTTATTAGACAGTATTTAGAATTAATTGAGAAACGTAGGGGAGATATATTACACACCACTGAACTAAGCAGAAAGTCCTGACTTTACCGAACAATTATGCTGTAGCCATATTTGTCAATTTATTTTAAAAATCTTTTGGAAATTGAACGTTTTTCAAATCATTTGTAACGCGATAATGGTTTTGCAACTGTATTAAACGAATCCATACTTCCATCCGGGCCATCCAATTTTCTGATAGCTCCTTGCATCTTACTGCTGTTTTTAATATATGAACTAAAGAAAATAGAATCTTTTTCATACACTTGACTTGCAAAGCGAACCAAGGAAAATTGAACCTCAGTGTTTTTCATCGATCTAAAGAGAAGGGAAGTGTGAGTTCATGAAGGTAACAATAATGTGATATATTATTCGTCACTGCGATTTTTTCAGTGATTTCAATCAGCCACATTCAGCACTAAAAGGAATATTTGTATAGAACCACTGTCAACATGAGTAACTGATACAATAATACTCTTCACTTATCAATATGTCGAAATAGTACTCATACAATGTCGTCAGATGTCTACAGAACTGAGGTCCTAACATGCTAGTTAGTTAGTTTTTGACTATTATATTTATACCGTACCCAACAACATTTGCAACTGAATTCTTCATGATAGAATATTTATCAGTGTCCATCGATAGTGATGAGTCTATCACAATGACGACATCTTTTTCAAAATTGGTTGAACATCCTGCATCAAAAAATTATACGCCACTTATTTAAGTAGGATCGACCAAAATTCGCAAGTACTCATTCGGAAGTCAGAAGCTTGCCCCAACGTTGCATCATTTATACTTAAGTGGTAGCTTCAACTTCCCCGCAAATTCAATACTACACGTTGTTACACAATATACACAGTTAACTGATATAAAACTATGCAGATTTTGAACTAGTCTATATCGAATTCCAAGATTCTTTACTACACGTACCTCTACAACATGGCTTTTCTTTGGTCCAGTCTCCATTTTTCGAACAAGTGATTTCATTGTTTTCAGCAGGAATCAATTCAAATCCCTTGTTACATTCAAAATCGCATGACGATCCAATTGAGGGATATGTGTTACTGCAATGAACTTTTCCGTGATTTAATTCCTCCAATGGCTTGCAATATGAGGCTGTACAGGAAAGATGTTAATGTTTCTCTTACTATCTTAACGTACGATAATGTATTATATTATATTTATTCGATTGAACAAGTTCAATTATAAAAGGAATTTATCGTTGAAGTTTTCTTAGAAATGTATCTTATACCCCCATGTATGACTTAAAATTATTGAAATTAAACTCGGTATACTATCTTTGAAACGAAGTATTTCATCGTTTTTTTCCACATGTACCCATATGAGCATGAATTAATAATATTCTTAACTAATCCTAGGTAGAAAGAAAATGTTTTGAACGCGAAACTTTATTAAAATGGGAGAGCACAAGAAAATATTGAAAGTTAAGTTATTTGTAGACCACATACATTACAAACACAGCTTTCGTATACTCACCAGAAAATACAAGTGCTGGATTGATAAAAGAGAAGAATACGCGTACAATTCCTGATATTGTCATCATGGGAGCTTAATTTTAAAACGAGGATTTGTCCCTGTTATCTCAACGATACTTTGAATACTGGAGGAGTTGAACCCTATTTCACATTTTATATTTCTCTCAGGCGCACGTGATAATATTGCGGTGCAATGTAGTAAAAAAGATTTGGTTTCGTAAATGTTATAATTAACTAAAACCGGCTTTGAAAAACGGAAGAATCTGTAAAAATAAGATGGCGATTATATATTATCGAATATAAATTTGTCTTATAGTAACTCCTTGGATCGTTATTGTGAACAATTTGAAACAATAGGATCAAAGATGTTTTCGAATGAGTCAAATATTTAACTGCCATTGCGATCTCTATGACAATGATATTTTATATCGCCTAAATAATGTGCATGATTCGTATCACAAATTTATGACAACTGTTTTTATTCCATTCTTTATTTATCAGTTCAAAAATATTGAGCGTTTGTTTGTATCGCGTCAATATTCATCAAAACCGTAGTAACTAAAATCGATTCAAATTTTTATTTCAATTGTTGCATTTATTGTGATATTTATTTTTGATTGGAAATCACTTTTCACCATTGTTGAATATTTGACAGATAACATCACAGTTGCGTGTTTCGGTATCAGACTTTTGTATATAATACAAATAAATATATTCGCTCACTACATTGTATTTCAATCCAGTACTCATTCCTTGTCATCAACAGTTTCGCATTCTCATTTTTATCACATGAATATAAATTTTTGTTTCGATTCGAACATCCATATATGGACATTATAGGATGATTGTAAATGCCGCGGGGGTTAAAGTAACACTTCTGAAAAATTGCATTTTTAATGCTGTTTCATCAATCTTATTACCGAATTGATATCACGGATGACATAATACAATTTATACCGCGTGTAAGCAAGGCTGGTTCAAAAATGTGATTTTATAAAGTGAAAGCCAGAATTTCAGTTTATACTGTCAAAGTTGTTCTTTTTTTTTCTGATAAAAATAATAAAATATTGTATTTCACTAAAAGATCAAGTTATTTAACATTGTGTGTTCTTGGTATGGAGGTTTAGTATGTTTGTGATGATTGTTGGTAGGTTACTTGACATAAAAAATTATATAAATTTTGCATGAATTTCAAAATGACGGAAACTATTCAATTATTCCAAACTAAACAACTCAAACGCAGATTTATTTTGAAAATACTCGAAAAAGAAATTCAAATATAAATAAATATAAAATTTTGTCAAAAAATTTCTCATCACTTAACCGAAATAACAATGATTAATATTTTTTTGGACAAAGGTTTTAGTTCATAAGTAGATTCGTAATAGAATGAATAAAAAAATTATTCGAAAAATAAATCACGTGTTGAAGTCACAACAAAAATCTATATTTACAATAAACATTCATAGCATATAATTCTATATTTGTATGAAGTAGCTTAATATTTGAAAAAGTTACCGTCGGCTCTAATATTTCTCAATTTTGCTTCATCAGAATTTATAACTTCATCGCTTTAATGGGCTTGGTGTATAGTCTATTTCCTCAGCAAAATCCAGAGCTTCTCATATAGGAATGTTCCTGAATTAATTTTACAAGAAATATAAGTTTATTTTACATCATCAAAGTATAGGTCATTTATTTCAAGGTTCATGAAAATATTTTGAAACGCATCATTTATTGAAGCAATGTTATAATAAATGTGAGTCATCGCGGTATACTCAGTCAGAACATATAGGAATCGATTTAGATACATATATATTTCAGCAGCATTTCTCCAGAAAGATTCCATATAGATAATTTAATTTCATCCAAGTCATTAAAAGTTGAAACGCTATCTCAATAGAAGGGCTTTGTTTTGAAACTATTACTGTAATAGAATCTATATTTGCATAAATATAGATTAGAACAAATGGAAGTTTTTGGATTGACAACTCACAGCGCCAATGCTCCGTGCTTATAAAACATCCGTCCCAAAATTAAAACAACGAGTTTGATCAACATGACCACTTTCATTTCATTCCCCACTGTCCTAAAATACTTTAACAAGCATTACACTTGGGCAATAGATTTTACAAGCCATATGACGTTAAGCTTATAATATATTATCATATACCTTAAGCTTATATAATGCAGTATAATTTAGGTAGCTGCATGACGAGGCAGGAACTCGGTTAGCGTGGGCTAATTCTTCTAATTTTTAGGCGAGTAACGTAGTGTATCACATATGCAAAATCACATGACCGCACATCCACAGGAAATACCCACATTCAAATTATGCGCAATCACGTGGAAGTTACGGACGGAGCGATGAGTAAAGTTACGCGTCGACACTGCGGTACCAATAGCTAATGAAATAGCCTTAGCCGCAAAACTCGGAGCAGTTTCAGGTATTTACAATCGGGAAAACAGTTTCTAGGTCGGATATTAGCATAAGTTTAAATACAACTACTGTCATCTGTTGGTTAGGCAAAAAAGCTTTGAGTGTGTGAGTGGTTAAAGTTTTGAGGGTTGCCATTTACACAAAGAGATGACACAATTTACTGGCAAGTTGCGAAATTCCTTTCATTTCAAGCATGCTACGGTATATTCGTCATGGTCTCTGTTATTGCATACGACCAATCAACGAACATTTGCATTTTGATGACAAGGACATAAAGAAGACGGAAAAAGCAAAGCTGAAACTATTTCAGTTCTTTCTGGTATAGAATATAGAGTGTTCTGGTATACGTCGGAATAAAACTTCCCTATTACAATTGCAACATGGCCTGAATTTAGTTTAATATTCGTATTCAGTACAAATTTGGAAACTGTGTTATATTCAATACTGAACGAGGATGGTAACACATTTTCGGTTTTGGTCTTACAACGTTTTGGTCTACTATACCTATTATACACACACTTGATAACGCAGACGATCTCTTCGGAATAGTCAAATACCCACATCTTCCACATTGTTATGACCTTTGGGATGAATGTTTATTATACGCCATTTCATTTCAGCTTTGAAGTGACTGTCCCACACTTTACGTGGCACAATGTATTCTCCATCCTAACTAAATTCCCCAATTGATACGAAACATATTGTTTTGCTGCATCCGGACCCAATTGTTTCATGTAACACCAAAATCTGCGCAGTTTCGTACTTGGGTATTTCGATAATTTAATTCCATATTCATGTAAATGTCTGATGTGGCGCCTTCATTTGCAAATTTTGTTCGCATATCTTTGTTTTGTTTTGTAACCCCCTAATGTAAATAATACAATACAAATTGATTGAGTTATTCTACAGACATAACGAAAAAAACACACACAATACCATGAAATAAATATGAAAATTTAATCTGATACCGATTGACATATATTAGGGCGTGAAACATTGCCCCAAGCAGTTAGAATTTAGAAATTTAAGCCGCAAAACCAAAAGCTGCATTGTAAAACCAGTAATGCACATCTTATGATGTTGATGTTAGTTCTGCTCAAATCGTTTTGTTACGTAACAATGCCGACGTCGTCGATTTTCGGCGTCGTGTGGTTTGTCAGTATGATGTCGAAAGCAAAACCTCTCAGTGGCGCACAGAAACGAAGAAAAAGAGCAGAAGAGAAAGAACGTATGAAAAAAATTAGAGTAACCAAGATAAACGAAATATTTAAACCAAAATTGAAACAAGTATACTTGGGAATACCGAATTTAACTGAGGAGGAATTAGGCCTAGCACCGGTGGTATCGGTAGAAAACCAGATACGTCAAGGCCGCCCAACCCGCGGCCCGCCGGACTGTTTTTTGCGGCCCGCCGGACTGTTTTTTGCGGCCCGCCCGATAAATCTTGAAATCAAACTTTTTATATATTTTTACTATTTTATATAGGCTTAAGTATGTTTCGTGATTCTGGTGTGATTATTCCTGCTATTAATTTACATCCGAATGCCGGTTCCTATTATTACGTATGTGTCAAGTCTTGTATTTGGTGGCATTTCTAGTTTTTTTTATTTCTCGCAGAACTGTGCTTTCTGATCGACGAACTCGAAAGATATTGTGCGATCATTGGGGACGAACGCTGGGCACAATAAGAGGAATTAATTTGGAGCCTAAAATTGCAAATTATTTTCATTCTGATTGCTTTCTTTCGTGTCGGCTCTGATCGTCTTTATCGCCAACGTAAAACAAAAACTCGACAAAATCTTTGGTACTGGCTCCGGGACTCGTTGTCCTTTATGTTTATACACTTGTTTATGTTATGTTTGCGTTAAATAAGATTTCGGAAATGTCGTCACTTCGTATACGTCAATAATTATGTTAAAATTAACTTAATGGCATTGCTACATATTTAAATTAGTATATATTCCGTCCAGCAATTTTTGTAATGTTACTCCATTAAATACTTGTATTAAAGTTTCAAATTTTACGAAACAGCCCACTAAAACTCGATATTCCCGCGACATATGTGCACATTATGCCCATTTAAACGTTGAGACAGCCACTGGAAATGAACGAATAAAAACACTATCACGCAAATATAACACTCAATTTTGACGTCAGAAATCCGCAAGTGTGTTGTGTAACGATTGATTTTTTGATTCGGCGGCCCGCGAGTGTCATTTCCATGCACCGTGTTACCAGATATTCGAATAGTAAACTGCTATTCTAATATTCGATTTGATTTTCGAATATTTTGCCAGACCTATTCAGTATCCAATAAATAATTATTCAACCCGATTGATTTTATGTTAATAAACTTGCCTACTATGTATTATGTAAATTATACTGAAATCAGGACTTAACTGGTATTAAAGTTTGGTACAAACGTTTGCGGCCCGCAACGAATGTCGTTATGTGAAAGTGGCCCGCGAGACGAAAAAGGTTGGGCAGGCCTGAGATACGTGTTCAATCTCCAAAAGCCGGCGCGAATGAAATTTCTTCCAAAACTTACACGACGATTATCACAGGTAAGCTACTGATTTTTGAAGCAAATTGAAAAAAATGATATGACGAAGATGGTGGATAAGTTTGCTAACACGAAAGAAAGCACTACATTTCCCTTTTATGAATCTAGTCGTGGATGATGGAACAGAGCGTAGAAAAGATTGGACCACTGCACCTGGTGGAATGGCTGAATGGTGGTCGTTCGTGGAAATTCGATATGAATGTTGGAAGCATTGGAACAGATACAATGATTTTAAACTGAACTAACCGAAAACGACAAGAGAACCCAATACCCCAATCCATGATTTGTGCTTAGACTGCTATGAAATATTCAATCCATTTACCCAAGCCTGTTACTTTTGCAATGTAATCGAACTAGGCCTACAGTATCACCATTTTCCACGAGATGAGAGTCTTGCTATGCCACTGACATAAAGTCAACGCGAATCTTTGATTATGTAGGGGACATTTATTGAATTGAAACATTAAATATATATATTAGTGAATTATCCCACTTCAACTGTTAGTGCGTAATGTTCCATACTTTAAAATATATGTACAGGAATGAAGAAATTAAATCAGTTACAACGGCCTATAGCGCGGTCACTAACCCTTTTCGCTTCAGCACACCTTGATGTCATTATTCCTAGATTTGCTGAAATACCACATTAGAAGTATAAATTTAAAAAAACAGAGATCTGGTCGTCGGTGCTCACTTTAACCAACTTGGATATTCACTGAAGTACTTTAATGTAGTTGGAATTGAAAAACTGTTTCAAGACCATATTTACCGAAAAACTAAAGAATCATATTTCATTCACCTACTTGGAACGCATGAACCATTGGGAATGAACATTAAAGAAGTTTAGGGCATTTAGGAACATTTTATACACCGTATATTTTCGTAATTTTACCGAATTCATTTTTTTTTATGTATTTTTTTAGTGCAGTTAATTAAAATACAATCACCAATTTATTGATTTTTCAAATCCCATTGTTGTGATTTTGTTATGTTGCCATGACACCCATTTTATGAATGTGCATGAAACTTTTATGTGTTTTTTAATTTTAAATATTTAAACTTAGCGTTGTTAATTAATTTTTTAATCACCACCCGCATGGGTTCGTTAACTCACATTGTTATGATATTGTTTTGTTGCCATGGCACCCATTGTATAAATGTGCTTGCAATTGTTGTTCTTGCTTTAGTTGAAATATGTATGTCTGAGGAAGTTTGACCTTGGTCAGACGAAACGTTACAGAAATATATTTGTGTTAGTGTGCAGCAAGACTATTTATTGAATTACTAAACTGCATAATGTTTGTATCTGACACTAGTATACTCCAATACTAAAATCAAATTAGTGTTACATTGGCTAATAATAAGTGAAGTACCATATATGATTTACAGTGTCTCAGGGATATTTTGATGTCCCTTGTAATGTTTTTTATTCAAACTAGTGAATCAGCATTATCACATTCCTGGTTTGTACTGAGAATTTACAAGATGACCCCCTGTTTAAATAACATTTTATTCTTTTATTTATGTAAGAGATAAATGACTTCCATATTTGATGTAGGTTCACACGCAACACAAACAGAATGTTGTGGTTCATATCCAGTGTTGTGACGATCGTCCATTTTACGATATAATCTAGTTCCCAAAAAACACAATTTGAACCTTTTGTTTGTCGGTATTTGTTTACATATGTTATACAGTCGATAATGATGCCGTTTATAACTAACTTAATAATTCGGGTGATAAACAAATTATAGATGTTGTTATACATACGAATGAATAAATTGAAAGCCAAGTAAGAGCGGATGGGGATAGTTCTGGCCTGGGATGTAGCAAATCTGTCTCTTGTTCTTCCCTTGTGGAAGTCGTACCCTTTCAGTTGAAAAATACCACCACAAAGAAAACATAGGATAAAATTTGTCAAATGAGTTGATTGGAGCAAATCTATCTTTTTATTAAGATAGAAATAGAGACTGGAAATGTAAGTTTTATATTAGGTATATTGATGGTTGCATTCTTAGTCACATAATTATGTATTGGCACACATTTACTATCATTATAATGTTTTTTATATATTACATAGTAAACATTAATAAATTTATCATAAATAGTTAATTTGATATAATCCTTATCAATGTTGTCTAGTCTTTTATTTGCTTGGATGATAAGATTTCCTTTAGTTTATTTTAAAAATTATTATCGTTCAGGCTTTGCGTGATAAGGAGCAAGAGAAAGAGAAGTTGTTGAAGAAAATTAAGGACGAAGAATCAACAAAGAAGATTTGAAGAACTTGATTTTTTGCATGAATTGTTACCCCTATATGGAATATTCCTCAATAAACTTGAAGGGAAAATTTACGAAAAGAAGAATGAGCTTTACAGTGACAAATACTTTATAAATGACTCTATGGTTTTGTAGGATTGACGTCTTTCTCTGTGTTTTTAAATGTATTTATTTATTGGTATAAAGTACGTGTGTTGTTTTGAAATGATTACAAATACGAGACATCTTGACTGTATCTATGGAAAGGCCGAAATATTAATGTAGATGCAATGATTCGGAAAGCTGATATTTAGTGATATGTTGTATAAATTGTAGATATTGAGAAAGATCCAATCGCATTGTGCGAGTATACACAGAATACATGAAATACCATTGTCTGTTGCCTACTAGAACGTCTAATTACATTTAGATCATCAGTACCACTCACTGTGTTTCGTCTCAACAAAATAAACTTCCTACTTATGAATAATATTGCGACTTACAAAATCGGCTACTCGCTGAGAATAATAAAACATAAAAATCAGTATTATCTGCAATAAAAACAGCAGTACTCACTCAAATTACAGCTGGGGGATGGGTACTCATATTACCTGCTCCATCCCGTGGCATTTCTATATGGGACCTGCCTCTTACCAGTTTACATGAGTGCCAATTGGTATCTAAGCTCAGCCAGAGACAAAAAGTTTCGGACAGCGATTGGCGTGACGAAATGTTTTTAAATATATATTCTACACTAAGATTATTTGATTGCATATTACTGAAGGTTACGCCTTATATGTTTTTCCCATTGCACTATTCCTTTACTGATATTCGTTAATATGGCGCTCATCTAACATAGTTTTTCAAGTGTGTAGATAGGTATAACCTTTTCCACGCAGTTCAGATGGGAATGCGCGAATATATCTGAGAATCACTAATATTGGTTTGCAATGCGATGAAATCCCATCTTAGCATTTCTGCCTCTTGCAATTGCTGGAGAAGTTCTGTGGCGTTGTTATCAAATGAAGAAAACATGGGAGTATTATTTTTACTTCTCTACTACTCTCAAACCTTGACATTCTGCAAAAAAATTTTCCATTCATTTTTTTTGAAACATCCTCAACAACCACAATTGATTCTGTCATTAAACTTCCGAAACAAACCCATAAAATCATCAACAGATGCATATCACCAATGCCTAAGTAGATATTGCTGAACTGATCTTTATTCACCATTTTACATGTAATGTTTTTTGGTAAACCTGTTATCTATCGTAAATACAGCACATTTGACTATGTTGTAGTGTAACTTTTTTGGCCTCACTTTTTTGATATTTGTAGTTAGATCTCTTGGGGCTCTGTCAAACAAAATTATATACAAAATATTGGTTAAAAGTTGCAAAATATCATCATGTTGTTGGAATAAATTGGCATTTTACCACTCGTATATTATTCATTGTTGAGAATATTAATGAAATCATAAAATCTAAAACTCGTTTTCGTGATTTTTTTGTTGTAGCTGAATTCGAGGGGCAGCATGACAACAGGCAAGAGAAGCACGGTCGCCTCTTCTAGTTTATGACAGGGTTTCTTAAAAGGGGACTCCGGCCTCCTTGGAGGCCACGGATCGGTTATCTGGGAGCACGAACAAACAGACGGTAATGCGAATATATAATATATAGATATATTTATATTATATATGTATATTATATAGATATATTATATATTTTTATATAAGAGAATAAGTAAAAGTGTTGAGGGTCTTTGGTAGTTTGAAAAGCATTGGCATGGAACATAAAAATGGATTACATTTTTTCCCAGGGATATACTATAAAATGTAGCAATTTCATCATTCGTGTTCTCGTGCTCGTGATAGCATTATCTTTCACTGCATCGTCATGATCATCCCGCTGCATAACAATCCTTGATAACAAAAAATTGACTGTTTCTCACCGGGTGTATATTTGCGCACAAATTGTTCAGGTTGTGCGCCATTATGGTGCACAGATTTGACGAAAAACATCAATACAAATATCAAGCCGTAAAAAGATTGCTCAAGGCTGCAAACTTTACACTCATATAGAAATGTTTGGCAATGACTCCAAGATGAATGATTACAAATAAAAAAACTTTATATCTAAAAACAAGGTTGGGCCAAAAAAGGCCCCTCATCTGTCGGACTATTAGGCGAGATTCTAATAGACAGTTTGTTTATGGCCACCTATATTGAAAGTACTGATTCGGCGGAACGAGAGAAAAAGCAGCTGACAGCAGCTGTATTTTTGTTTTTTTCTGACGCTGAAATTAATGAACTGATTAATTCTCTTTCTACTTTTATTCACACTAAATTTTGTTGGATCGGGTATGCTTCGGCCGAAACAAGCCTGATCTGATACTAACAACTTTGCTAAATGAAATTAAAACACTTTATGTATAATATATTAATATATGTAAGATTTATTACCCAGTTAATTAAGCATGAAATAAGGATTATTATTTTTTGCGATGTTTTCTATGTCAGTGCATAATACGCACCCCCTTATTTTGAACTTTGGGTGCTCCCGAAGTATGCGAACCAAGATGGCGGACATCGGAAGGTAACATGGGTAACAGGTTAGGGTTAGGCGATAATTTCTTTCCAATTTTCCTTATTTTAGTCCTATTATTAGTTCGAAGACTAGCCAAGAGCCTCCCGTAGTATTTATACCCAAAATTATGGCCTAACCCTAACCTAGTACACATATTACATTCCGATGTCCGCCATCTTGGTTCGCATACTTCGGGAGCCCCGAACTTTGAATTTGGCCTTGAAAGTGCGTATCATACGCGGATAAATACGGTAGTTATTGAAATGATAAAAATATTCTGAATGTTTTAGATAGATGTTTCAGATCTAAGACAACTTGGTTTGAAAAGTTTTGATAATTTTTTTTTAGGTTCAAATTTTATGAAGTTTCTACACAGAGTATATTGGTACCAATAAACCAAGCATATGCTACACAGCAAGTATGGAGTTGCTTTAAAAAAAAAAGAATATTAAAAGTTTAGATATGTTTTTAGTTGCTTCTATATTCACGCGCACGATTCCATTTCGTGGTCAGTATTTCCTAAAGACAAGTGTGAATAAGATCTTACATTCTGAAAAACTGTTTTTGTTTTTTCCAAACCTCATTATTTCATAAAAATCTTGTCCCTGTTGTACATTCCGTGGCCTGCAGGTGCTTGTTCGGGGAATGGCAACGCTGCCCATATAACCTAATCTTATAATATCAATATCTCGTTTCGTCAAAATACGAGCCAGCTATACTCAATCTAGCATGCGTCAAAGATAGTCTGCTATCATATCTCTGCAAATTGTCTGATGACTGATGACGTCGAGATGGTATTTATGATTACGAATTACAGCGTCAACATGTAGGCATTAAAAATATCGTCATCGTCAAAAATGATAGCGGATAGAGTTAAATTCGTGAATTTTATAATATATTCTTACTCCACTATGTGCTAGAATTCAGGGTGGTCCAAACTGCGGCCCGCGGGCCGCATGCGGCCCGCCAACACATTCCGTGCGGCCCGCAGAACAATTTTTATCGTTTTAAATCATTGGTATATATTCGTATTTATTGGCAGAACCTTTTGAGTTATTTTTCAAATTTTCCAACTTGGAATATCCCTTTTCCTGGTCCCGATTTCGGGATTCATGTTTGTTAAAATCACGGAATTTCAATGTTGTTTCTATAAACGCCTAGATCAGTGATTCCCAAAGTGGGCGATATCGCCCCCCAGTGGGCGAAAACCATACAGAGGGGGGCGAAAAAGTTCAAGGGGGCGATAGGGGGGCGATTTCGCGAAACCTGTTTTATGTTCGGCGCACTTAATTCTGTACTTTGTGTGCATTCGCAGGCTTGAATCATGTGGGCAATTATCCCACGCGAACGGATTGCTGGACTCGTCTTCGCAGTAAGGTACGGTAGTTTGCGTATCCCAGTGGTAGGCAAAATACGGCCGGAGTAAAATAATCTGGCCCGGGACGATTCACTGAATGGACCTTTCCCCGACCTTTGACCGCGGAAAATTCTTCCCATACTTTACCATTTAAAAATTTTCGGTGCTTATTTTAAGAATGGTTTCGCGAGTTGTTGCCTGTAAAATGGGGTATTTGTTTCAAACTATCATTCTAATACACACCATTCAACAATCTGTTTTTTAAAAGTACCGATGAATTTTAGCCTAGTCTACCACAGCTATTTCTACACTAATTTGTGATTGCTGTATTTAATCTGAAACTCATAGGAAGACAAAGTAATCATTGACTTATTTGATTTAAATTTCCGAAAAACAACTAAAAACTAACGAATATGATTCAAAAACGCGAAAATGAGGTAATGTTCACGACCACGCCTGGAAATCTGTCTGAGTGAGCGTGTCTGAGAGCCTGAGCGGATGCGAAAGGGGGCATTGTTACGTTTTGCATCTTGCTGATTGGCCAATGTCACGAAGTAAACAAGGAAGTCTATGCTCGGGGAAACATCCAAACGGCGGTTTTGACGATGACATTTTTTTATTTATAATCTACGCTCGAGGAGTAAATTAAATTTTTTTACGTAACAGAATTTATCGTGAGACACGTTTGAACTAAATTTTATTATATCCTAAAAATTCCATTGAACAGCTAGCTACTCGTTTAACGAGCCTACAATTTAATTATAAATAGACAAAGGGAAACACGAAGAGAAGTTGATTCTGAGGGCAGGGGTTCAATAGCGCAGTCAATATTCGAATATATTGCAAAGCAATAAGGAAATAAAATTCATATTCTATTCGAGAGATTCATCACTGCTTAATTTTTGTAAGAATGTATCTTCTTAAAGAAAATCTTGATCAAAATTTCACAAATCATGCGAAAATATTCACTTCGATGTTCGGAAGTACATATTTGTGCGAATAATTATTTTCGAAAATGAACATCACAAAGAACAAGCAAAGAACTGGGATTAGTGATGCCCATTTAGAAAATGTTTCAATCTTGGCGTCGTAAAGCTATCCAGCGTGATGCAGCAACAAGACAGTGTCACATTAAATGTCATTGTAATATTTTTTTAATAAGACGACTGAGTTGAGTTCACGAATTGTCGCAGTTTTTCGCGCGCTGTTCTGTTTTTAACTTTCAAAAAATATATGCGACCCGCAAAAACTAGCAACCCTGAATTTTGTCCTGCGAGCGACATAAAATTGCCGACCCCTGGGCCGTA